ATCGATCAACTCTCATTAAAAGCCGAATTGAGCATCGCCAAGAAAACTACAACATAATTAATAAAATTCTCTTGGTTCATTTTGGATTTGAACTGAAATGCGATCCCATTCATGGGTAGAGCTCGTTTTACGATTTCATAGAATCAAAGACCAACTGCCCCCATAGTACAACATGGAGGCAAGGAGCGCATTTGGTGGCAAATCAATGTTGCAGATGCAGCTATTCGAGTGGAGTCGACTCTGGACTGTGGACTGTCAGATGGCTGCCGCCCACAAATTAGCTGGCCAATAAAATTGGCAATTAGCTAAACATTTGTACGCACTGCGAATGCTTTGTTGTTGTTGCTGTTGTTGTTGTTGCTGATGTTGCTGATGTTGCTGATGTTGCAGTTGCAGTTGCTGTTGATGGCCAAAACGTGAGCGAGGCGTGAGCCATAAATACGATTGCAAATGGCAGCAATTAACGCCGCGTTTGCGTCCGAATGCGAACCCGAACCCGAAACCGATCTATGGGGAGAAATACATTTAGTCCAGCTCCTTAAGCCCCCTTCCCCCTCCCGCCGCTATACAGATTCGCAGTTCAGCGGCCGTTTTCATTAACATAAAAAGCCAATTTCAATAACATTTTTCCCAACTGCAACATGAGGCGCAACAGCAGCAACAACAGCAGCCAGCAATATGTTGCTGGCAACACAGCAACAGTTGCAACAAATTTGTTGATGCCCCTCGACTGCTGCTGCTGTTGTTGTTGTTGCTGCTGCTGTTGTTGGGCTTTTAGCTAGAATATCGTTTATTGAAACATTAATTGCCCTTGTGAAAATCACTTTCGAATAGTTCAACAACTTTTCTGGCGGCAGCTGCCTGCTGCTGCTGCTGCTTCTGTTGTTGTTGTTGTTGTTGTTGGTGTCCACATTTGCATTTTCTCCCGCCCGTGTTGCTGAGACACTTGTTTAACTTTTTTGCTGTTGCTCTCCGTTGGGGTCGTCGCCCATTGCTCAGTTTGCTTCCTTTTGCCACTTCGATAATTGAAATTTGATGTTTTTGCGCCTAGCTGTGGGTGCATGTGTGTGTAATTTGTGAGCTTTAGCATTTGTTTAGTTAGTATCGAAATGTATAACTGATCATTTATGTAATCAACAAAACTATGAATAATATGAATAATAATTGTTTGAATAACAAACAATATCAATATGTAATACATGAGAATCAACATTTATAACCAACTTCCGAAATAGATATGTCTACCACTTTCATATTCCCATTGTCTGGGATTTAATATTTGTCGGAAGTGCTCGACTAGGAAATACCTTAAGGCCAGAGCTGAGCTGCCCTTACAAGCATTCATTCAGGACATAAAAAAGTCAAATGTGGCAAAATAAGACTGAGAAGCTATTTTCAAAAAAATGCACGGAATCTAAAGTTTTTTGACAGAAATCTCTCGGACGAGTCCTTGTCCGTGATGACCCAACCAGACTTGGCGAAACATTATCTAAGCCAACTGAGTTGTCATAATAATGTACATATGTAATTTTAATCGAATACAATCAACAATAAGAAAGAGGTTAAAATATCGCTGATATTTAATCTTTTTGGACAGTAGAAGGAGCTACATTTAATGCTTTATTTCTCTAGTTCCTATAGTCTCTGAGATGGACGTGTTCATACATAGTTTAAATGAAATTATATTCTATATGGAACGTGAGCATAAGAAGACGTTTCGATACAATTTAAAGAGTTGGATGCATAGTCAACATTAATGGGCTGGGCTAGAGTTGAAGGGAATGATCCGTAATTGTTTATGCAGTCACTGGCTCGTTCCAGTTCACAGCTCAATCACATGTTGTACAGCAGTTGTAACACCTACAGTGGAACTGACTTCAGATACACAAAACGATTGACAGCCAAAACTGTCAACGCATTTGAAAATCAGTTGACTGAGTGCCAGGCCACGCCCCGCTGTTAGAGGTTGTTATTGTTGTTGTTGTTGCTGTTGTTGCTGTTGTTGCTGTTGTTGTCGCCGCCGGTGGCAATGGCGACCGACACTTGGCCCCCAGCCACAAGTCGCATAATGAAAATGTCAACTACGCTGCCTGCCTGGCGCAAAGTCCACTTGGAGAGCCAGGCGAGCCAGGCAGGCAAATAAATAAAATAGACAATCTGGCTGGCACCGACGTATGCATACCCTGCCAAAATTGTCACCTCATCAAATTAGAACGAAAAACATTCTTTGAGCACAAACTTAATATATAAACTATTTAAATTTATAATAATTATGATATTTATATTAGGTTTAATTATAGGAATTGAACATTTTTTTCTATGAACCCAGACTTAAGTTCAAATCAAGGTTCACCACATACTTTATACTTATTTATCAACAATTGAATGTTGCATAAATTAAATCTATTCTACTCATATTTTTATTCATCAGCATTTTCTTTTTTAAATAAAATAAGGTTCGATTGTTGCTCTGCTTCGGTTTGAGGTTTGGTTCGTAGTACTTTCGCGCTTTAAGCTTGAACCGTCACGAGAGACCTTAAGGAGTTACCAGCTGGACGGAAAGAAGTATATGGCCCAAAGCTAGAGTATAGATAAAAGAGACAGAAGTTCAGTGCGCCGTTGCAGCAACTGTAACGCAAATATCACGCGTGATTCATCGGCGACAACAACAGCAACAACAGCAACAACAATGGCTGCAGAAAACACCCACACACGCACACACATATGCAAATGTTGCTGCTGTTTTGTTGTTGTTGTTGCTGCTGCTGCCGTTAGCTGTTGCTGTTGCCGTTAGACGAGGCTCATTTCAGCGCGTTTTTATGCTTGTTAGAGCAACGCCCGCGTCGGTTTCAAATTGGGTGGGGACTGCGCTGGGCGAGAGAGAGAGAGAGAGACAGAGAGAGAGAGAGAGAGAGAGGTAGAGGGCGGAGAGCGGCGTGTCGGAAAACTGTAGGTCTGCACTTTTCTTATTTATTAAGCGCACAAAGTCGTAATTATGCAAAGCGACAAGAGTTTATGGGCCAGCAATTGTTGCTGCTGCTGCTCACTGATGAGTTGCTGTTGTTGTTGTTGCTGTTGTTGTTGTTGTTGTTGCTGCTGTTGTTGTTGCGACACACTGCGACACTTTTAATGCCTGTGTCGCTTACACAATTCTTGAAGTTTAATTGCCAAAATGAAAAACCAACAATACAAGCCGAAACAAAACAAATCGAATGTACTTGAACCGTGGGCAATCGATGTAATCGATATCGAAAAGTGCAAAAATGAAAGAAAAAACAAAAAAAAGAATTGCAACGACAACAACACAAATTTTGGCATTCAATTCGTTGACAATAAGAGTCGCGAATAAGTCGCTGATTTTGTCGTTTGGTGTCTGCGATAAGCCAGATTCAGAATCTTTGCCAGCTATTGGCCAACTCTCGGCTCGTGTTGCCCTCAATTCAAGGGTACATCAGCTTTGCGAAGTAATTTGCAATCAGCCTATATGGATTTGCCAATTTCACCCAAGTGGAAAAAGTGTGAAACAAGCTGAATGCTCTTCAATATAATTGATATTTGTAAATAAATCGGAGGTTGATCGAATCGATCGAATCGAAGTTTCCTACAATTATTTCCACCAATATTCCACTGTCGAGAGTGGAATGTCAGGCAATCAGTCAGTCAGTCAGTCAGGTTAAACAGTTATACGTATATATAGATTAGGATAGAGTATGCCAGCTGCGGCTGGGGCTTTATTGTTCCTCTAGCTTTTTAGGGTGCCGCCGTCGCTGCCACGCTCTGCAAGCCAACGTGACCCGCTTTCTGGGCCCACAGCAAAGGGCTAGGGCTGACAGTAGCAGCAGCAGCAGCAGCAGAGGCCAGCAGCAGTGTCAGAGGCAGAGGGTTAGCGGGGCAGCGGAGATGGCGACGACGACAATTTGGCAATCATTTGCATATCGATGTAATGATCATTGGGTCTCAAGAGGGAACGTGTTGGCATTTTGCATAGGCTGCCGCTGCCGCTGCCTACATAATAAGCGCAGATTGTTAGATTTATCGCGCGGCGAAGAGATATTTCAGCTTAATTACAATTGAATTGCACGTGGAATCGCTTGTTGATTGTTTTTACCGTCTTTCGTTGACGTATTCTCTGGGCTTTGTTGTTGTTGTTGCTGTTGCGATTGCTGTTGTTGTTCTTATTTTCGTCATCTTGTTTACTTTAACAAATTCGACGCATAATTTTCCCAAGCGAATGTTGAGTTCAATGTTTTTGTGTTTTCCAAATGTATTTTGTCTACAAAATCCTTGAAGTAAGTCAATAGTCTCTGATTGCCATATACCCATTCTCCCCCTGCACACCCCGAGCTCCAACTCATTTACAAATTGTTCAAATTCTTCCGCAAAATAAACAAAAAAAAAAAAAAAAAATTAAGAAAAATGGAAAAAAGTTTCGTTTTCTTTTGCTTGAATTTACCGATCCGTCAGACGCGTCTTATTATTCCTACAGGCTATAGGCCTATTGCCAAAGTCAACGCACTTTGCGGGGGCCTCATGAATTTTACTACAATTGCCGCTTTACGCACTTTTTCGAGCTGCTGGCGCTACGTATTGAACGTAGAATCAATATTCGATTCGATTCATTAACGTTTGCTGATTCATACGCAAATTTATTCGAGTGCCGACTAATATAATGCTGTGCGGCTGCAAACTATTGATAAGTATTTTTTTTTTTCTTAAAAAAATGATTCTATCAGTAATTTTGATGTACGTCCTAAAAATATGTGATAAAAAAAAAAGATTTTCAAAATTTCAGAAAATTGATCTGATGTTGCATAAGCATCTTGCTAGTGCACTGCTTGTCTCAATACTGCTTCCTGTACTGCATTGAGCAGCCCAACTTCTTGTTGGCCTGCTTGCTTTAATGTTGCCAAACTAAAGTTAGCGCGTTGCCAACTACATAGTTGCTCTCGAAATTTCAGTTCCCGTTCACCCAGTTCGGTTCCAGCAAAATAGCAGAGTCAGTTTCTGATATTCGAACAAAACAGATCGCTTTAAAAATTGTAAGTTAGCTGAAATGAAAGTTAATTATAATGTACACATTGAGTAGGCTGCCCGTGTTCGATAGCCAACAGCCGCTTGCAATAGGGCAGCACGAAAATTCGATATCAGCTGTGCGAAACTCACCACACGCCCTATCATATCTCACAGGGTGTCGCCTATTCGCTTCTTAATACAAATACTCAGTCTCCATTTAATACTTTTTGTTGGAACGCGCTGGCGGACGGTTTGGAGCCATCCGAGTTCGCTGTGTCGGTGTAAAAAGAAATTGCCATTTAAATTCGCATATTAGCAGCAATGGGCAACGTGGACGACGACAGCGCCACCTTCGAGCAGAGCTATGACTGCGCCAATAACCGCAATGAAAAGGTCTCCACTCCAATAAGCAATGGACACATTCCAAGTCACGCGTTTGTACAGCAGAAGGTGGAGGGGCAGCTCAGCGAGCCGGAGCTGGTCGAGGAGGAGCAGAACGAGGAGCAGTTGCTGCTGAACAAACACCTCAAGTTCTCGGCACCGGCCTACACCGAAATCCGCACGCGTTCCGGAGGCCTTAAATTCAAGGTGAGCTGAGAGTGAAAGAAAGAAAAAAAAAACCACAACTAACAGAAAGGCGAGGCAATTTCGAATATGTTTTTGCTTTTGCCTCTGTTTCTGCTTCTTGTTCTACTCGTGCCGGCGCTTCATTGATTTTGTGTGTGTGTGTGTGCGTGTGTGTATAAGAGTAAACGTATGAATAAGCGGGCGCGCGTGTGAAGAGAACGGCGCGCCAAAAAAGAGTAAAACATGTGTGCATTTGTTAGGCCAAGAGAAGGGTGGAGATGGCTGCAAGAAGCGCCTTTTTGCATTGGCGTCATTTCTGGGTCAGCTGCCAGCTGTTGCCCCCGTTTACTCGCTCTCCCCTCCCTCTCTCTCTCTCACTCTCTCTTTCTCGCCCGCTCTCTTCGGGTCGTTTGTTTTGGGCAGCTGAAACGCCGATTCTTTGCATCTATTTCTGGCTGCCCCAGCAACTGGAGCATGTGTCCTGGCGTGTGTCCAGCAGTTGGCCACTTTGCGACCTTTGACATGCTCGTGTATGGCCACTGCGCCCAACTTGGCTCGTTCCGCCCATGGGCTGTGGCTATCGCCATTCCGCATGCTTATCAGCTAACACTCGTAGAGCACACAAGAATTTTACGTAAAGCTTTCGAAAAAAATGCGCTGACGGCTGCCATTGGGCGTTGTGGGGGTGATTCATGTGCCGTCTGATGTTTTATTTTTTTTTTTTTTTTGGGCCCGGAATCTGTTAAATTTGGCTGATTAGGTTTTAAGTTTTCATTTCGACCATATAGAAGAAGAGCGCGACTTGCAAGTGACGCATTGTCGGGCCTTACCCGGAAAACAAGACATATTTAGTATTTCCTGACTTTGAACTATAAATCTATATCAAATAAATGCAAATCCAGCTAGCTGCTTTAATCATTTAGTATGTACTAAATGCATCAAGAACCCTCTACGCCTTTATTCAGAATCAAATTCCTAACCACATCGGAGTTGCAAGCGGCGCTACGTGTCCGGACTTCAGCGGAATTTCAATCAATTTTAGCTGGGCATAAAATTTAAACGGAAAGCTCTGCAAGCGGGCAGCTCCCTCAGTCGGATGTGGCTAAGTTTTGTTTCCCCATTTTCGATTGACCGTATTCTTCCTAGACCAAACATACTTTCTTATGGAAGTGTTCCTAACGACTACAACAATCGACAATATATTCTTGAAACCAATTTATTTACAACTCATTTTTAGACAATATGTAAATAGGTAATTCAGGAATATTGAGTTTCCAGTAAAAGCTACTACTATACTATTATATTATACTTATTTTGTAGGAAGCTGAATTTATTTGATTTATCTACCCGGGACAGGGAATGCGTATATTCTCATAGTCTCTTTTCTACAGATTGAGTAAAGATTTACACAAATTAAAGGAAAGTAATTCCCACATCTGATTATAGAAGCAAAGACTATTCTGTTGCCGAGAAACACTTGCCTTAAGTTTAGGGTATTCTTTCAGTTTTTATCCCAGTCTATGAAATATTATAATAGTTTATATGAACTTGAGTTGTATCCGATTGCCTGCAAGAATTGCAACTTAATATAATTAGTTGCTACACTCCAATTTTCTGCAATTGAATTCAATAATACACTCAAATTGCTCAGTTTCTGAGTTCAGCCGAACTTAAAACTAATAAGTGGAATAATAATCTAGTTAAAAAATAAAGATATAGTTCACGTTACAATCTGGCCCCGTGCCTGGCTGGGCTGTGTATTTTTTTATCAGATGGTTCCGATTTTCAACATTTACCACCCGTTCAATGCGAAAAGCATTCATTATCTATGTTAGTTCGTTGTATTTGAGCTTTACAAGCGCTATTTTCTATGTGATTATTTATTTATTTAGCTGGGCTTCAGTTTAGTCTATTGCACAACTGAAGTGCATACGAGAACTACTTATATTATAGAGTATATAACTAATTTAGGTACGCTTTTTGGAAATTGCAATTGCGTGTGTTATTTCGCATAAGAAACAAATTTTGCAAACCAGCCAAATGATAATAAACACGACATATTCTCGCCGTCGCCATGTTATTGTTATACAATTGAGTTATGGCTAGTTATATCAATTTATATGCACACATATACACTTTATATAGAAGCTATTATAAAGCTAACCATAACAAAATCCGAGCAGCGGCTTGTTTAATCAGCTCCTTTCCACAGCTGCCAGCCGGGCAACACACGGCTGTTCCCAAGGGCCTTCGAATATCGACATCAGATCGTATCCATTTATTCTCTTCAAATTGGTATACCCTGATAAATGTGCACATGCAGTAGCTGGCATCTCTGAAAGCTCCTGTACCCGGATACCCGAAATGTCCGTTTATACGAATAATTGAATTATATAGACTCTTCTAGGACTCTGCAAAGCGAAGTAAATCAAGAGTGCATTAACCAAAATGTGGGCATAGGGTAAACGAATGCCTGTGACTGGGCACAGGGCATCTGCAAGTCGGACACTTGTGAGCAGGGCAGCTCTGGTTCGTTGTAAAATAACTTCACGCACTGCTCAAACTGTGTGCCATGTTGTGCAATGCTCTACATAGTTATGCCCATATATACATACTTTTATGTATATACAACCTGCATATAGATATATGAAGAGTGTTTTTATGGCTTCCATATAGTTTGTGGTCAGGGCAGAGCCCTCTAAATGACATCGCTGCACGGTGTGAGCGAGCGAGAGGCCGAGCTGAACGCAGTTTTTGTATTCTGGTAGTTAAATGTTAATTGGCTGATTGACGACACAACAACAACAACAACAACTAAAATATATATCAGTCCGAGATGTACTAAATATGCGACTGATACTGTGAAATGATTTTTGAGCTGCAGGTCATGAGTTGATTGCTGAAAGGTCTCTCAAAAGCTTGCCAGCGATTCGCGGCGAATAGAGACCTCAAGTGTTATCTTTTTGGGCTCTCATCTATCGCGTGATATGAATAGCTTTTGATATTCTATTTATGCTCATCATCGAATTGCTCGTTATCTTCTGATTTTATTAGCCGGCCGGTAAATAGATATATACGAAATCTTATTTCGACAAACAGTGACGAATGCTATTTATAAAATTTAAAATTTATGTTTATGAAACAATCCAAATTCACAGAACTGGAATGTAATATTACAATGTAATATTTTATATATTCCTCCTATTCACTGACTTGATAGAACGCAGTAAATGCTGCAAATCCCTTAAATAACAGGATATCTTCTAGAGATAGCCTCAGGTACTATATTTGTGACATTTGTCAACAGCATCTAATATATATATAAAAATATATATATTTATCTGAAATGTAAACTTGCATTATTCGCTTAGGGACGCAAGTTGTACACCAAACATCAATTCAATTGAAAAACTCGCAGGTGAACAAAAATTGTGGTTAAAGCCTGTCGGAAATTGATATCGATTCCCGGATGGATCGAACAATTTATCAATATTATGACAATTAATCGTGTTTATTTTGAAAACCAACTTGTTGTTCGGGGAATAACAGTTGAGTATACAATTGGAAATTATTGGAAAAAAATCGGACACCATTTTCATCGACTGTGTGCTTTCGCTCGCCTCCGACAAATATTAGGAAAAAGGATCTTACAGAATACTACGTTTGAATTATTCAAAAGAGTGCGCTGCTTCTGGGAATCATGTGTAGAATACCAATTAAACGCCGGCCGTGGATTATGGAGTCTCTCGCACCTGTTCTTTGCTGGTTGCGATTACTTTGGCGCTGATAACGAGCTGTCAATTTGCATTGTGATAACAGGCATTCGGTTCTAATATAAATGTGTTCAGCCATCAATCATACGTAACTCCCATCTAATCTGTATCTAACGCCGCAGGGCACCAGCGAAGGCAGCTACCATCCGGCCAAGCAGCTGGAGGCCAATGGGCATGCGACAAAGTCCGGCAGTAAGTGCGAGAAGTTCAAGCCAAGTCAAGCGGACGGTGTCTTGTCGGCGGAGCAGGAACACTACCAGAAGACGTCCTTTGAGGATGTGCCGCTGCACACGGCCTGCCTGACCTATTTGGGCTTCTATCTGCTGATGATACTCGGCTACATAAACCAGCTGCTGTTCGTGCCCAAGGTGGCCACGGAGAAGGGGCGCGAGGGCTATGTGGCCCTCTACGATGCCTTTGAGAGCTTCTATTCGCGCTACGTGTACCGTCGTGTGCGCGACTGTTGGAATCGACCCATCTGCAGTGTGCCAGGCGACGAGCTGGTGCTGAAGGATCGCGTAACGGACGACTATGGCTGGAGCTTTAGATTTACAGGGACCGAGACACGTTGCCTGAATCTCGGCTCCTATAACTATCTCGGCTTTGCCGCCGCCACAGGAGCCTGCGCAGATGACTCGGAGCAGCGTGCTCGCCAGAAGGGTCTGGCCTATTGCAGCCCTCGCAGCGAGCTGGGCAACACGCAACTGCACATCGATCTGGAGCGACTGACAGCCCGTTACTGTGGCGTCGAGGATGCGATTGTCTTTGGCATGGGCTTTGCAACGAACGCACTGAACTTGCCCTCGCTACTGGGCCCCAACTGTCTGGTTGTGAGCGATGAGAAGAATCATGCCTCCATTATTCTGGGCCTGCGTCTGTCGGGAGCCACAACGCGCGTATTTAAGCACAACAGCATGCGGGATCTGGAGCGTGTGCTGCGCAATGGCGTCTGCTATGGCAATCCGAAAAACGGCGGCAAGCCCTGGAACAAGATCATGATCCTAGTCGAAGGCATCTTCAGCATGGAGGGCTCCCTAGTGCGCCTGCCCGAGATTATTGCCCTAAAGAAGAAGTACAAGGCGTATCTGTATCTGGATGAGGCCCACAGCATTGGCTCCATGGGTCCGACGGGACGTGGCGTTGTCGAGTACTTCGGTGCCGACCCCAAGGATGTGGACATTCTGATGGGCACCTTTACCAAAAGTTTCGGCAGCGCTGGTGGCTACATAGCAGGCTCCAAGGTGATCATAAATACGCAATAATTCCCTGGCATCGCATTTAATTCCCATTGCTTTCGCAGAAACTGATTGACTTCCTGCGCACAAACAGCCACGCCCATTGCTATGCCAGCTCCATCTCGCCGCCCATTGTACAGCAGATCTACACCTCGATGAGCATCATAATGGGCGAGGATGGCACCGATACCGGCCGCAACAAGGTACAGCAGCTGGCCAGAAACACGCGCTATTTCCGCAGGCGCTTGGCACAAATGGGCGTCATTACCTATGGCCATGAGGATTCGCCGGTGGTGCCCATGTTGGTCTATCTCTTCTCAAAGATTGGGTAAATGTGATTCTGCCTTGCCTGCCAACTTTGTTAATATTGTGCTCCTTCACTTAGTGCTGTCATACGCACGCTCACCACGCGTCATATTGCCGTAGTGGGCGCTGGCTTCCCGGCCACGCCTATCATGGAGGGTCGCATACGCTTCTGTTTGTCGGCTGCGCACACCAAGGAACAGCTTGACTATGCCCTCGACGTCATCGACGATGTGAGCGAGAACTTGGGTCTAAAGTATTCCCGCAAACCGCGCGATCCCAAGATCATTGAGTACTAGACTCTAAGCACACACATGCACCACACAACACACACATTTAGTACTTTAAGTAGAAAGTTGTCCTCAGTTATTGGAACCAGCCCAAGGCACAAACTGTATTCGGCACAGAACGAGTTTCAGCCGCCAGACTCGAGTCGTTGATATGGTGAAGCTATTTACAATGGACATGTTGTTGTGGCTTAACTTTTGACTAATCCCCAAGGGACTCTGCCTAAAACACTAAAAAGAAATCGATGAAACAGCACTACAACAACATGCATAGCTTTATTATGATGAAAATAATAATAATAATAACAATAATTAATAACTATTGTATATTTAGCATTTAACTCTTCATAGTTGTTATGGTATTTCGTAATATTTCCGATGTCTTCAGCTGCTGCACATATTTTCTTCTCTTTTAAGTAGTAAGGAAGTGAAAAATGTATTATGATCATCAAGTTTTTCAGTTATACAAATGCGTATACTCTATAAGCTAGCCAGATTCCGCAGCTGCTCCAACATCGCGCACCTCGCCTTAAAAGATTCAAAATGCCAAGCCAAACCAAATGGAAATATTCAAATGCAACCAGTTAACATAAAAACTTAAAAGGCGTGGCAGTTCCAGAAATATAAGCATTACTTCTATGTTTGTGTATATGTATTAAACATTTTATTTTTCTAATAATAATAAATATTATGAAAACTTCCAGCTTAACAACGTGATGTGATAAAAGCATTCAATTTCTGAAGGTGTTATGCGATTTTCTGCAAGTGCTTTTAGAATACGCAAAACACTCAGAATTGATTGAACTTTACAAAACCGTTGAAATAAATATGATAGTTCATTTTTTTAATTCATTAGTCTCCGTATTAAAAACATTTTTGTTAAATCACAGCTAGTCTTATATATTTGACAAGTAACCAAAGTTATCCCAAATTATTTTAGCCAAGAATCATTAGGTTTTTTCAATCAAAATGAAAATCAAATTTCAAAGCTGTTTTTATTGCATTAAAAATCCAATTCGGGTGCAAGCAGTGAACCGGAAAGCACCATGCAAAGCAGTTCATGAATATGTTGCAAGCAGTATACCCTAAAATGTGTATTGATGTATTGACAATAGTTTAAATAGATATGATGTTGTTTCTATACCCTGTAACTGAATATTTGATCTCAATAACGCTTTAAGTGTGAAATTAAGAAAAATACCCAAGACATACTTTAATAGCAGGCGCGAGCACGCTATTTCTTAATGTTTCCTCAGGTGTACGACTTAAATATTTTGTTAGCCTTATTCGACCAAACATAAATTAATAATCACACAAAATAGTTGGCTATGCTCTAAGGTTCCCAGCCAAAAAATGTTCTATCTGCACAATTTTCTGTTCATTTTTAGCTTGCGTTTCGGTTGCCGTCTTATAGGATTTATTGAGATTTGTCTGTATGGCTATGGATTCTATTATTTGGTTAACAAATATGGTAATATAAGACTTGTTCAATATCTTTAGATTATTTGTAAATTTTTTCACATTTCAGGCTTCTCGCAAATGCTGGAATCGATGATTATAATATCTCTGGGCACTTCCTGTCTGCTATCGATTCTGATGTTGATCTCTACGCTGCAGGACCACGTGAGCTAAAGCATTTAGATTGAATGTCTTGTTTATTCGAAATGTTAATTATTTCACTTAGGAATCATCCGGCATTATCTTCACTTATCTAATGTGGGGCATTTTCACAACAATTTTCTTGGCCGTATTCTACTTGATAACCTTCAAGTCGGGCCGAAAAATAAGTTTGGAAGTATTCTTGGGTCTACTATTGGGCACAACAAGTAAGTAGCGTTTGGTCATTTTCTGCTATGTTGCTTATTTCAACAGTTGCCAAGTGCTATTCCATGCTGGTGGTACTATCATTCCTCCATATGATGGTAAGTTCCGATAGTGAAGATTCCTCTTAAAGACGCCTCGGACATCAAAATAGAGATGGAATAGAAAACATTATTCATATGTGAAATGCCCAATGTCCACTCTTAGACAGCTGTTTTATTAAAGTGCATTTATATATTTTGTATCTATACAAATAACGCTCTCTTCCTGCACGATTGATGAACTGACCGATTCATGGTCAACGCAAAGTTCAAGGTGGTAGGGATAGAAAGCTTCTTCCAGATGGAACTAGTAATGGAAGCCCGTACTGAATATCGTATTGAAAGATCAAACTGGAAAATTTTGATTCTACAAGGAAATATCGAAAAATTTTAAAATTTTAAAAAATATTCACAACGCCATTTAAGAATGTAAGGTAGCAACAAAAATCTATTCTTTAATTATTTGTAAGCCTTGTTTTCATTTATTCCAATCAGTAGAGCTACAATATTTAAAACTATAGGCCAGAAAACCATTCCAGAAATGTGCGGCTAGAACTGGAAACAAGAGTGTCGAATGTCACTAATGTGTCAAGAACCAGCAAATATTTTCAGTAATCTGGTATAAATGGGAATAGCTTGCTTTTGCTATGGGTTCCAATCACTATGATCACCAAGGAGACATCTTCAATAACTTAATGACTTCTGTATTTTCAGCCTGAGCAGGCTTTGCTAAGAAGAAATTTGTTTGTTTCGTTTCCTCAAGTTCAGACAGTGTATACAATCCCACAAAGAGATTATAACAAATGTATTGAAATTCACGAATAATACAAAAATTACAAAAAACTGAAGCATAGCCACTAAATACATAATTTTTAACTTTTTTAATTTCGGAATGATTCCCTTTTCGATTTTTGCTATCTACTGCCAAGAAACCGAAGTCTTTTCAAAACTTGCGACTTCTGTGTTTTTGTCTGTCGTCAGTTATTAGAAACAATCCTGACAATTTTTACTCAGTTGTTTTGATCAAGGCTATATATGTTACATATTTAATGACAAATTTATAGTGATTAAAGTAAGAGTAAAAGAAAGCAGTTGTACAAGCAGTAGTTATACAGATATTCTTATATATGCATTCTAAAACAGTTAACAAGCAGTGCAAGCCAAAAATGCCCGCGAATTTTCAAAATGAATGAATTGGTTGTCATGTTGGGGACTTATGCAACCTGCAACTCTTTTTTATTAAAACAAGAAATATTGTACTCATAATTTACAGAATCTACCATTTTCTTTGTCTGATTGGATATAATTTCATTGCCCCTTTTTTGTTGAGCTGTGAGTTTTACTACTGCACTTTTGATAAAATTGAACAAGCATTTGGAAATAATAGACATTGTACTGCAATCGATTGAAATTGGGCGGGGGAAGTTTAACAATTTTCTAATTAGCAGTAACTCAAGAACGTCTGGCACTCGACCATAATATCAGATAAATTCCGACTGTAATTGTCATAGATTTCAAGATACCAAAAAGGGCGACAATATTCCGAGTGTTGTTGCAAAGAAATTACTTTCAATTTTATTGCACATGCAATATTTATAGAGTTGTTGCCTGTGTGTGGCATTTACAATGCAGATGCGGGCAAAACACTTGATGAAATTTCAATGGCACGCCCCTTTTTGGGGGCTGGGTAGGGGTGACAAAAGACACAATCCGAAATAATTCGTTAAAAGTTCGTATTTTTAAAAATCGATTTTAAAGAAATTTTTGCAGTTTGTATATATATGCTTGTGTGCTTGTGTGCGATTCGGCTTTAGTCAAAATGGGAAAATGTACCTACATATGCATACGTATAGGGTATATGTAGGTATACAATATGGGCTGCTGGGCGCGGCCCTGTGCTGCTGCATTTCTGGTGTGAGTAATTGACTACGTGCGTATAAACTTTGTGCTGGCATTTTACCGAGCGTCGAGTGCCCAGCGAGTGCAACTGGCCTTGAGTGTGTGTGTGTGTGTGTGCGTGTCCGTGTGAGTGTGTGTGCTCTCATAAATATGCACTATGTTGGCCATTTGTCATGGCTTTTTGCTCAGCCCAAAGTAGCTCTGGCCTAGCCGCAACAAAACTGCTGCAACTCGTGATCAGCCAGAAGCGCAATTTAATAGAGATTGATAAGGATAAGCAGCAGCCAGGAGCTTCGAGACACGAAACTGTCCAAGCTACACGAGAAGCCGCTTAGTTCGCTTCATGGATATCCAATCCTAACATCACCTATAAGAACTTTGCATTCGATAGACAATCGCGAAGTTATTTTTAAAATTATAATTTCTATTAATATATTTCTTTTAATGCACAGGCGCATGTTTTAATATCAAGGGTAGTTATTTTATAAATAGGCATAATTAGAAGCCATTAACAAAATACTTTACTGTGCCAATAGATTCTGCTTAGGGTTCGTCTAAGAGCTATAAGGCGCCAGACCTGAGGCTTAGTTTACCTTCCATATAAATAGAGTAAATCTCTTACCAAACTAAATTTTAAATATACTTATATATACAAGACAAAGAGTATGCGGAAGCTTTCCAGGTGGGTTACTTACGTTAAGCAAAAGATGAGAAGCTTATAAATAAGACACAAAAGTGCTGGACCATGCCCATTTTGGTTACTGTTAACTTGGCTTAAGCTCGTTCGACTTCTCTTGATGCTCGATTGCAGTCGCTGGTTTTGGCTTTTGAGTGAGTTGTTGTTGTTTTTGTTGTTGTTGTTGTTGGTGGTGGTGCAACGTTGCGCGAAAAGCTCAGCAAATACAATTTTAATGTTTCCGTTTACCTGCGAGAAAATATGTATGCATGAGTTTTCTACTAGTTTTTCTTGCAACTTTTGCTTCTTGCCGCCGCACACATTCGAGTATTGGTTACGGAAAAACCTGCCACGGATTTCGTTTATGGCAGCAGGAAAAAAAAGAAACCAGAGGAAGTTGCATTTTGTGTCCATAATCTGATAAAATGTTGCAAAGTTCTTTTTTTCTTCTTTTTACCTTAACAATATTAAATAACGGCGAGGTAGAGAGAGAGAGAGAGAGTGAGAGAGAGTGAGCAAGGGAGAGAGGGGGGAAAGTCGGGAAATAGACAGAGTAAATCCGATTTGTGTACATTTTGAAGCATGCAAAAGCGCGTCAGCTGTGGATTGTGTGCATACTTTTGGCAGCCAGTGTGGCCAGCTATGGCAGCAATTTTGATGATGTTGCAACAACGACAGCGGCAACAGATACTAATTAAAGACATCAGCTTTGAGGATGGGGCATACATATTTGTATGCTTATACTCAGATACATTTCGGAGAGAAATTGGCAAAGACCACGCCCAGAAAACAATAATCATAAATGTGAACAAGTCGGCCACAAAACTTAATGATGCCAAGTAAAGGGCGCAGCATAGACAGGACATTAGTGTGGGTTTGTGTGCGTGTGCATGTGCGTATGCGTGTGCGTGTCCTTGGATGTGACAGGTGTTAAGGTGTCGCCTGTCGTTTGCCTCGGTTTGCCTCTGTATCTGTATCTGTATCTGTTTGTGGCATTAATTAGAAAACTGTGGTTGCCTTTTCTCAATGAAATATTTGGCAGCAAATTTAATTTGCGGTCATTTTGTTAGGGCTCAGCAGCAAGGACCAAGCTGCTGGCAACAAGGATTCGCAATTTAAATTTTGTTACTGAAAATAAAATCTCAACATTCTTTGATTAAATTCGCCTTGGCCCAGAGACGCAGCGACTTTGATGGATTGACGAGAGTATAAAGCACACACAACACTGAGGTGCAAAAGTGTGTGTACAGCGTTCTTTACTTACGAATATAGCCTTCCTCTCGCCAACTCCCTATCACCCTGAAATATCCATCACACACACAACAAAAGTCAAGCACATGGCCAACCTTTGGACACTTTTGCCATCGCGCTCGTAGCTTCGGAAGCGTGTGCCCCACGACGAATGACTGATTGTCCTGGTAGCTGGCTGCTAGTCCAAGTTCGGGCCGGATAACCATCCATAAATGCAACCAAGCACCCAGACACACACACAGAGAGAGAGAGAGAGAGGGGAGGGGGGGGAGAGAGATAGAGAGGGGATGTGGAGCTTACCAAGCGACACGTTCGAGCAGGCACATGAAAAATTGTTTCCGTTGGCTTCAAATCTTATTATAAAACATGTGCTTAAGTAATAGCATCCAACTGAAGTGTTTGACTTGACGCCTCGTGTCATGTAACAGATTGCCCATGTGTCATGAAAGGGTAAAGATTAATTTAATGCCAGAGTGATGCAAGTCAGGCAATAACCATAAGAGACCTTTATACAGACCATATCAAAATCACAAATTAGAAAGATTACCTTGCAACTTTCCTGTTATTGGGGTAACATGCACAATATATCCTACTTAAGATCAATCAAACGATCAATTTTATTTTGGAATATATGGCTTCAAATACCATGTGCAGGCCAAGCATCTCGAAGTTGATAAAGAAGAGCCCAAATTGGGCATTTGGTAACATATTCAGATAAAACCCTAGCTATCAGAAATAGTTTATAAAAGATCTCGAGATTCAGCGCAGCACTCTTTGAGAATCACATAGAGAGACTCGCCTAAGGAACAGAAATCGCTTTAAGCTCTTCTAAAGCTTTTAACGTTTGCGAGAATTTCTTGAAGCGTTAAAGCCTCTCAATTTCTATACATTTAAATAGTGTGGGTAATGTGCATTTGCAACAAATGCACAAAAATCGATGTGAATTTCACTCGAATCAAATTGCAAAATTAACTTACACATAATCTGAGCTAATTGGATTTCTAATGCGACTGTCGCACAGATGCGAACCTAATTGAATTAAATTATTGTGGATGTGGCAATATAATAACTGTATGCACATATATGTTATATATATATACATTAAATATCTATATTTATCTGCCTGGTACATATTTAATTTAATAGTTTGCGTATTGATGACAGTCGTGCATGTCACTGGGCGTATGCGTAATTTGATTATTAATTAAATGAGCAACTGGCGTGCGCTCAACCTCGGCACTTAAATGGGCCAATACTTAATCGAATTAACTGGCCGCAGCGCAGGAGCCCGGATGCTGTAACACACAAACACACACATACGTAAACACACACACACACACACACACACACACACACACACACATGCGCAGACACAGACAGGAAAACAATGGGCCTTGCCTAATGACAAGGACAATGCGTAAGGTGGGGACTGTTGGGGTGGGGCTGTTAGTCAACCTAAGTTGGTCAACGGAAGTAAACAAATCAAATAAGATTTATTATGTGACACGCATAAAATAAGGACAATCGCAGCAAACTCAATAGAAGGCAAAGGGGCGAGTGTGGGGCTGGGTAGGTGACAGGAACAGGAACAGGGACTGGGACACTTTTGGGCCCAACCGAGACAATGAGCCATGACCCAAGTCTATTAAATCAATTGAGTGTAAGATGGCACGCACGAGACTACATAGACTCAGTCCTGGCAACAGCCCCTGACCAAGCTGGCAACGAAAATGCTAGCTAATTAAGTTGCCTCATTAGGCACACGTCGGCCGCCTCCTCAATGTCCACGCCTCCAGGCGTTGAATACATCGTTTGGCATAGTTAAGGCAAAAATTTGTTATCAATCAAAGGCCGGCGGCTGTCAACTGTCGTCTGTCGGTCCGGTTTGTTGGCCAGCTTATTGGGCCAATTATGTGCAAGTGCTTAGCGCAATGGCTGCTAATTAGCCGCTGGCCAACGTGGCATGCTGCAGCAGCTTGCAGCATGCAGCATGAAGCGCAGTTTTGCGGCTGGCGCC